ATACCCACTGGTCCCCTGGAGACAAGTGTCTCCCATGCCCCTGTCTGGAGGAGTTTGTCTCAAGACACGCTACCTCTGAGTGACCTGTTTCGAACTAACGCCCTAGAGAACATAATTGTTAGTATCAGCAGAACTCCTCACATCTTCTCCATACATCCGTCTCGATATGATTATGATGACCAGTGTGACACAGGCTTTCCTTACGGACCTAACATGACATTCTTCTCATGAACCCTGGGGACCCCGGTACCCCTGTGTACCCCAGCGCCCTCTGCCAGTTGGCATCCAGAGGTTCTTGGGTCACTGGTGAATGTGGTACCTACATCTTGGGATGGCCCCTCTGGACAGGGGGAATGTCACCCTCTGAGGGAAGGAAAACTCCATGGCTCTGAGCCCTGGTGCTGGCTGCATCAACCACAGGGCGCTGGTGGGTGGGGCAAGGGACCAGAGCCGTCCCCAGGGAGCGGAGTCCCAGCTGCTAGGCTAAGGCTCAGCCAATGGCAGGGGGCATGTTCCCCTCTGCTGCTCTGTGCCCAGACCCAGGGGATGGGGAGAGTCCCCACCCAACAGCCACTGCCTGCTGAGGAAGGGGAGGAGCTGCACTCAGGACATGGGACTCCTACTCCTGAGTGCTAAATGGGACAGGCCAGCCCAGGCCCCGCTCTCGCTCCTCCATGTGCTTCCCTTGAGGAGCGCAGCCTGCCCCCTTCCCCCCCACCCCGCTGACTGAAATCCACTGTCTCGCCAAGTCCTTCCCACTCCCTTATCAGCAGTGTCAGGTCATCTCTCTGAGTGCCACATCACCCGCTCCTTGAACACAGAGCAACCGGCCCTGCGCAGCCAGGGCATGGCCTGCGAGGGCACACACAGCGCCCTGGCAATGGCCCCGACAAACAGCACAACCACCCTGCTGCAAGGACAGCACACAAACACCCACACCCACCCACACAAACAACACCGCCCTCCCCCCACAACATCCCTGGAACAATACCCCACAAAAACACCCCCTGAGACAACACCCGCCAACATCCACACACAGACACAACACCCCACAAGTCATGCAGCCTCACACAGGGACAACAACCCTGTAACACCCTCCTAACACACAAACACAGAGACAACACCCTAACAAACTCCCCCAACACCTTCCTGGGTAACAGTGCTGTCACAAACTACACAAGCCTGCAACATGAACATCCTGACAAACCACACAATATGCCACGTTGTGCATGCTCACAAACACCAACACCCTTCAGATAACCCTGGAACAACACCGCCCACACGAACAACACAACCCAGACCCCCGACAGGAACACCCTCCGAGCTGGTCACAAGCAGGCACTCCTGGGGGCTGGCTGGCTTGGGGGATCAGTACCAGCGATGGAGCCCACCCAGACCGCTGCCTCAGTCTCTTGGGACTTGCTCTTCCTACCACCTCCGGGGAGACTCTGTTTGACACCCACTCCGGAGCCCTTGATCTTCCAGCCAAGGAAGGCAGCCCTGCCTGGGAGGCACTGAGCTTGGCTCTGCACAGCTGCCTGCTGACTCTCTGCTATGGCCACCAGGCCCAGACACCGAGGATCCCGTACTCCCCTGGCCTGCACCTCTCAGCTGCAGCTTCATTCCCAGCCCAGGAACACGACTGGTGGGGCCAGATCCCAGGGGGCCAGGACCAGATCCCAAAACATCCTGTCAGCTGGCAGCCCGTCAAGAGGCCCAGGACTTACGGAGCTGTGAAGACTGAGATGAGGTGGGGCTGAGACACGGGTCGGCAGGAGAGCTATTGGGAGGCTGCCCATGCTCGGTGGGTAACAGACGTCATGAGCTATGCTTGCTGAGTCCAGCTGAGCTAGACTCCTTGTCCGCTCTGCAGGGACCAATGCACCTCACCCAGGATTTCCAGTGACACTCAAGCAGCATTTTCAAAACAGTCGGGTCTATTAGTCAACTGGACACAGCCCTGGAAATCCTCAGGTCACCCAGAGACACAAAGGTTAAAGCATCGTCCATTCTGGACAACCCCAGAGCAACCCACCAGCCAAGCTGTAGTGAATTCCATTGGCAGGCTCGCTCGCTCTCTTCCTTCTGTAGTCAGTTCCCAGGTGAGAGTGTCCAGGATCCAGGAACCACCTCTTTACCCTCCCCCCAAAACACCTTCCAGTCCTTTGCTCTCAAACTGGGGTTTCCGCTCAGCTTCCCTGATGAGAGGTGGGGAAATCCTCATCCCCCTGGGTCACTGGTTGCTAGGTGTCAGTGTCCTGGTGTCTGGGTTTTCCATTGTCTTCTCGGATTTTCCACTGATATCGGTTAGCCTAGGCCAGTCCTTTTTAATAACCCATGATGTGGAGAAAGTAAATAAGGAAGTGTTATTTACTCCTTCTCATAACACCAGAACTAGGGGGTCACCCAATGAAATTAATAGGCAGCAGGATTAAAACAAACAAAAGGAAGTATTTTTTCACACATCACACAGTCAAGTCAGTCTGTGGAACTCCTTGCCAGGGGATGTTGTGAAGGCCAAGACTATAACAGGGTTCAAAACAGAACTAGATAAGTTCATGGAGGATAGGTCCATCAATGGCTATTAGCCAGGATGAGCAGGGATGGTGTCCTTAGCCTCTGTTTGCCAGAAGCTGGAAATGAGCGACGGGATGGATCACTTGATGATTCCATGTTCTGTTCATTCCCTCTGGGGCACCTGGCATTGGCCACTGTCGGCAGACAGGATACTGGGCTAGATGGACCTTTGGTCTGACCCAGTCTGGCCGTTCTTATGTGTTTATGTTCTTATTCAGTCCACTCAAGACAGCCAGGCGACACTCACACACTACGGCCATGTCTATTCTACCACGTCTGACGGCAAATCTTGTCACCGGGGGAGTGAAAAAACAGCACCCGAGTGACATACGTTTTGCCAGCATAAGTGACAGTGTGCAGAGCGCTATGTCGGCAGGAAAGCTGCTCCCCTCAACGTAGCTACCGCTGCTCGCTGGGGGTGGTTTAATAATGTCACCGGAAGAGCCCTCTCCTCTCAGCATGGAGCGGCTACACGGGAGATCTTCCAGCGGTGCAGCTGCATTGGGTTCATGCAAATATTACCGAAAATTCCCAAGGATCTGAGCTCATTTTGCAGAAGCCAAGTATCCAGCATCTCATGGGACACTCTGGCATCTGCAGCCCCACCACATCTCCCCACAGCCTGGTTGGAGCCTCACACAAGGCTGGGCTGAAGGGATGAGCTTGCAGTGGCTCCTTATGGCCACTTGGGGTGGTGTGGAGCTGTAGGTAGCCAGGTGCCCCCCCGCCTCATGTGCCCCAGAATGAAGGAGGCCCAAGCCACCTCCCCTGCCTCCCACTGGCGCAGGGGTGAATCTGGCCCTGAGTCTGGCTGCTGGCACTCACAAAGTCCTGGCTGGGTTTGTTTAGCCTCAGCTCCCTGGGTAAAGGGACGAACTCGTGTGTCACCATCTCTGGGCCTGCAGGGTCAGGGTCTCAGGCTTGGGCTGTTTGAATGCCAAGTTCAGGCTGTCCAATCTGCCCGCTCTGGGCAACGCCAGCCCAGACGAGCAGAGACAGGTGCTGGGCAGGGAGGTTGCGAGCAGGTGTTGTTGGAGCCCCAGAACTCCCTGGAGTCTCTTGCACTCAGGCAAGTTTTATCTTCTAAATAAAAAATTAAATCCTGGGGCAGGGACTTATTTAGTGATTTAGTGCTGGGGGGGGCGGATCTGGGAGCCAGGATTCCTGGGTTCTGTTCCCAGCTCTGCAGTAGCTAGTGAGCTGGTCACTGTCACCCTGGACAAGTCTCATCCCTGTTCTGTGCCTCAGTTTCCCCATCTGTATCATGGTGACATTGACCCACCTTTATAAATTGCTACGCAAGTGCCAACTATTAATATCACCAATGGGGACACTGAGGCACAGAGAGGGGCCTGCCCATCATACAGAGCCAATGGTACCGATGAGCATAGAATCCCAATCTGATGGCATGTCCATGCTCTCACCACAACTCTCCCTGTGCTAATGCCAGCCATTGCATCCTGCCTCCTTAACTCCCCTCCTCTGCACAGGGGACTACCCTTCCCTTCCCGCTCTCCCCCGCGTTGGGGCATTGCTGTGTGCGGTGAAGCAGCTGCCACGATGCACCCTAGAGGTGACTGCAACTCCGTGCTGGTGAAGGGGGTAGCTTGCAAAGTACGCCAGGGAGCTGGGAGACAGACGGGGCTAGGGAAAGGTCAGATAGTGGCCACTGGCTGACCCCACTTCTCCGGCATCATCTGGCACCTGCTCCCTGGAGGCTCTTAGGGGCCGTTTATTGCTGGTACAGCCTTGTGCGCCCAGGGCCGCGCACAGCCCAGACACAGCAGCCTCCGTGCACTGGTGCGGCAGGTGCCCTGGGGCGTGACCCAGAGAGGAGCAGCTGGCAAGGCCCATTGGGTAGGGCACCAGGCCAAGGGCCCTGCTGCTCCCCCTTGCCTGTGCCGAGCGTGGGGCAGCCCACCTGAGTCACACCCCGCACGGGACCGGAGAGAAGCCAGGAGACCCGCGGGGCCAGCGGGCGTGATCCCGGCGGCCAAGCCACATGCTGACGCCGGGCCGGAGCCCCGGGCTCTGAGGGCGCAGGGGATCCGCCATGGCCCCGCGCCCGGCTCTGGGGCTGCCGCAGCGCCGAGCCCTCCGGGCAGCTCCCCGCCATGTGCCGGGCTGGAGGCGGCGCAGCCGGCGAGGGGTTTGTCGGGTGCGGCCCAATCAGCGGCCGGCCGGCGGCCCAACCCTCCCATTGATGGAGTCGCCGCCGATCACCCCACGCGGCTGCCGCGCCGCCTTAAAGCCAAGCCGGGCCGGGCGCAGGGCGCAGCTTCGTTCCTTCGCCGGCTGCGCGCCATCGACTCCGCGCCCCGCTGCCTTGCGCGCCCCACAGCCCCGCAGGGGGCGCTCGGAGGGCAGGGGCCCGCCCCTGGGCCGGCCGCTTCCCTGCACTGGCCGGGCGCCGGCTGGAGACCATGTGGCTGATCCTCTGGGCGCTGCTCTCTCTAGCTGAGCCGGGGGCCGGCGGCTCCTTCAGCAGGAGCGACACCTTCTGCTACCTGGAGGCGGCGGGCACCGCAGGGGCGGCGGGCACCAGGTACCTGAGCTTCCTCAGCCAGCGCTCCGGCGCCCTGGCCCTCGTCCAGAGCGCCTGGGGCGGGGATGGGCACCTGCTGGCCTGCTCTATCCAGGAAGAGGCCTGGCTCACGCGCCTGTACCAGGAGTCCTGTGCCAAGAGCCCGCAGAGCAGCCTCTTTGCCAGCCCCTGGAGCCCGGCGCGCCAGCAAGCCCTGGACAGCCTGGCCCAGCAGATGCACCTCTGCAGCAGGGCTGAGCCCTTGGGGGCTGGCAGGCCCCGCGTGAGGAGAGCGCCCGTGGGCAAGTGGGCAGGACTGGCCCTGGAGGAGCGTGGGCGCAGGAGGACCCGGCGGGGCTGGACGATGCCAGGGACGCTGTGGTGTGGAGCTGGGGACTCTGCAGGGAACCTCACCGAGCTAGGTAAGAGCTGTGGCGCTGCAATGTCCTCAGTGCCCCCAGCTCCCCTGGGGCAGAGCGGGCAGAGCTGGGACCCCGCACTGTGGGCAGGGGGAGCCGGCAGGTCCCAGGCTAAGGCCAAAGAGGCTGGAAGGAGTTGAAGGGGGTTAAATGAGCTTCCTGCATTTGCCCTAGTGGTGATCCTGTGGCACACGCCTGGGCCTAGGGTGTCTGGGGACAGGCTGCCCAGTCTCCTCACCATGCTACCTGCAGGAGCTGCCTGTCAGAGGAGACTGGATTTGCTGTGATTCAGAGGCGCTGGCCTAGCTGTGGTTCCAGTAGGACCGGGAGACGTGGGCTCCCAGCCTGGGGCGGACACCGGGGCTATCTGTGCCTGAGCCAGGACAGCTCAGTGTCCCTCAGTCTTTTATTATCTTGGTAGATGGGGCTGGTCCCTGGGGAATTCACCCCCCACTCCCCGCCCCAGCCTGCGAGCCTCTGCGTGTGACCCCCGCAGGAGGGGTGTAAGTATCTGCGGGAGCTGGTTCAAGGCTGCTGCATTCCTGAGCATGGTGACGGTGGCCCAAGGTGCCCCATGGGGCCAAGACATTCCACAGGCTACTTGAGGGAGGCCCTAGAGAAGCCCTAATGGGGCCAGACCTTCAGCCGGTACAGAGCCCCTGCCCCTGCAAGTCCAGCCTGGGTTGGGTGCTGATTCCTGCTGGGGACCGTGGCCAGTGTGTGAGACAATAACCCACCCTGCAGGTCCCCTCCTGCCCTGCCAATAGGTGCCCCGCCCATTGCCCACAGGGGGCAGCAGCAAGGGAGCTGGGGCCTCGGCGGAGTGTTGCTTTGCTTTGCTGGGCACTGCCCCCCCTGAGCTCCCCGACCCTCCCCTGCAGGAATCTTCCAGGGCCCCGACTTGTGCTGCCGGGAACACGACCAATGCGCAGAGCAGCTCTCTGCCCTGGAGTACAACTACGGCATCCGCAACTACCGCCTGCACACCGTCTCGCACTGCGACTGCGACGCCAGGTGAGCCGGGCTGGCACGGGCAGGACTCGCCTGGTGCTGCACCAGCTCAGCCACTGGGGAGCTACCGTCTGTATCACAAACCCACCCTGGCCCCTTGGGCTCAGGAGACGCCTAGAGTGGGGGGCTGCGAGTCAGGATTGAGGAGCATCAGCAGAGCTGGGGGTGGTGAGGTCCCCTCTGCCCATTTTGCATGGCATGGTTGAGAGCCCCCAGCCCCTCCCGCAGCCGTGCCGTGCTGCTCCAGAGTGCCCGCCCCTGCTCCAATGTCTGCGGCCAGCGGGAGGCCGGCTGGAAACGGCTCAACTCCCCGGGTCCCATGGAGACCCTGGCAGACCCCGGCTGCCCCTTTCCTCGGCGACTCCTGCTTCACGGGCTGTGCAGGAGCCTGGCACTGTCACCTCGCATGCCCAACAGAGCCGCTAACCGGGGGTTCAGCGCGGGAAGGGGCTGGGATTGGACAGCGGCAGGGCTCCTCTGCACTCCCTTCTATGCCCCCCCCGCCCTCCTCGTGCCCTTCGTCTGAGCCAGCCCTTCCTCCCCCCGCCCGCCTTGTGCCGCGCAGCCCGTGGCCCTGACGCCCCTCGCTGGGTTGCAGGTTCAAGCAGTGCCTGCTGGAGCAGAACGACACCATCTCCAACGTCGTCGGCATCACCTTCTTCAACCTGCTGGAGGTCCCATGCTTCGTGCTGGAGCAGAGCGAAGCATGCGTGGACTGGCACTGGTGGGGAGGGTGAGTACCCAGGCAGGGTCCTGAGCCCCCGGCCCTGCTCACAGAACCACGCCCAGCATCTCAGGGGGGGCTCTCTGACCCCAGGGCCATCAGACAAGGCAGGCTGGAGCTGCAGCCAGTTTCCCCAGGCCAAGGTTCAGTCTCTGGGCACTGCGCCCAGCAGGCCTGGCTGCGTCACTGGAGCGGGGGCTGCGCCAGGTTCTCACTGGCGTGTCCCTGCGATGCCCTTTGCTGGCAGTGCTGGAGAACCAGGGCTGTCCCCGGAACTGGGCAGCATTCCCATCCACCCCTGCACCGCGGGCTCCTCTCCGGGTGCCTGCTGCCACGTGACAGGGTGCAGAGATCAGCTTCCCAGGGGCTCTCATGAGGTTCCCCATGGATCCGCGTCAGCTCGTCAGACATCCCGAATCCTGCCAGACTGCGTGGAGCGGCCACGGGCTAACAGGGGGAGCAGGGTTGGCTCAGGTGTGGGAGACAGCGTGGGAATAGGACCGACGCTGCCTCTGGCGAGCTGGGTGCAGGGACAGGCCTGGCACCGGGTGGGGATGGCGGAGCCTCCATCTGCCCTGAACTCAAGACCTCTCTAGAAGTGAGTCTCCAGCCGGGCTGCTCGCGGGGCCGCACCAAAGGAGGCAGGAGCCCCAGGGCGGGGGTGGGCTGGGAAGGGAGGGACAGACTCGCCCAGCACAGGGTGTCCCCCGCGGGGTCTGGCTGCTGGTGGCGGGCGGGGCACATGGGGACTCTACCAGGTGACTGTCCTCTAGTGGTGGAGGGGAATGGGGGGAAGACAGGTCAGCAGGGGGCAGACAGTGGGCAGACAGTGGGCAGGGGACCAGTGGTGAGACCCAGCCTGGTGGGGGTTGCTAGGCTCTGCTGCCGTCCAGTGTGTGGGTGATCAGTGCAGAGCCTGCAGGGCTGTCGGGCCAGCATGCCTGGCAGAGAGCCTGGCCCTGCTCCCTTCTCCGGCCCTGGGCTGCCTCTCCCGCTGGGACTCCCTTGCTTGGCCAGTGCAGGCTCTGGGAAGGCTGTGGGTTCCCTGGCTGGCCCTGTGTGGGGGAGGGAGTGCTGTGGCGAAGCAGCTGGGCACCAGTGGGGCGTGTGGGTGTGTCTTGCTCCCTGACTGGCTGCTGCAGGTGGCACGACTCGGCAGGCGGGACGGAGCCAGTCGGCCCCACCCTGGCACTCCCACATGCTGGGGGGCACGGTGCCAGCCGGGGCATGGCTGTCAGGAGCTCCAGCAGCCCAGCCCTCTGTGCCAGCTGGCAGTGGGCAGGCGTGTGGGTGCTCAGGGAAACCCCTGGGAGCAGAGCCCAGCCCTGGAGGGGGTGGGAGTTTGGGGGATGGCCTTGTCTCACTCCCCCTCTGCTCCCCAGGTGTAAGCACTACGGCCCCGTAGCCCTGGCCCGGATGGTGCAACAAAGCCAGTACCACTACGGCCTGCCCCCAGGGGAGACGGCCAGCCCTGCCACGCTGGGCAAGGGCAAGGGCAAGGGCAAGAAGCACGCCAGGCGGGGCAGGAAGCACCAGAGGAAGAACCGGAAGAGGCCTAGGCAGAACACTGGGGCCCAGGGGTCACAGAGCCCCAGAGAAGATCAAAGACCTGTCACGCCCCCCCTGCCCAGGGGCCTGGGCACGCTGCCCCCTGCCCCTGCTGAGGATGGGGCCACCACCCCACACAGGCATGTCCCAGACCGGCGGGGGCAGGAGCCACCACCCCTTACGAGGGCTTCTGAGCAGGGCCCCACGCCTGGGACTGAGCACCCACCCCCTGGTGGGGCTGGAATGGAGGGGGCAGGGCGGCCCCAGGACAGGGACTCAGCGCGCCCTGCCCAAAGGACTAACTCGCCGCCCACCCCAGCCTCGGAGCCACGCTGCACCCCCACGCTGCACCCGCCCGAGCTGAGCCGCCGGGGTGAGTGAGGGCTCTGGGCACGAGGGCGGGGAGCAGAAGGGCTGGGGGGTTGCCGTGGGTTCTCTGGGGTGGCGTGCTCTGCGGGGGAACTCCCAGAGAGTGCCCGTGCCCATGGTGTGTGCGCGCAGAGCTTGGGTGCCCGTGGCGCTTGGCCCAGCATGGTGCAGACCGAGGTCCTGTGCAGGGTTTCTGGGCCTCTGACCCGCTGGGGGGGGCCTGAATGATGTGCCTCAGTTGACCCCAGCCCAACTCCCTCCCCCCAGCCCCAGCAAGGAGCTGCGGATGCTACCGGCACCTTGACCAGTGTGAGCACAAGATTGCGCCCCATGAGGTCAAGTACCAACTGCGCAACCCGGACTCCCGCACCCTGTTCCACTGCAACTGCACCCGCAGGTGAGTGCCACTTCCTCAGGCAGCGGGGCCGCCCCTGGGGTGCAGCCGGGTGGGCGCCCCGGGCTGGCTCCGCTCTGACTGGTGTATGCAGAGAGGGGCCAAGGGCCTGGTGCTGGGCCTTTTCCTTCCCTGGCTCCCAGGGACTGGGCCAGGCGGTCTCTGCAGTGGGCAAGGGGGAAGGGCCCTGGAGATGGGGTGGAGGTGCTGGTGACTCTGCAGGAGCAGGGGGCACGCGGTGCATGTCTGGAGGGGTGCTGGCCCATGCCCAGCATTGCCTCTCTGCCCCCAGTGGGGTCCCGCTGTGAGCTGTGCCCTGTCCCCACAGGCTGGTGCGGTTCCTGCGCAGGACGAAGGGTCCCAATGAGGTGGAGGAGGAGGTGCTGTCCGACTTCATCTCCACGGCCTGCTTCGTGCTGGAGCCGCCCAAGGGCTGCGCCGACAGGGAGCAGCAGCCCAAGTGAGTACAGCATCAGCACCAGGGGCTGCCTCTGTGCCCTGGGCTGGGGCTCGGGAGAAGGGGGGCATGGAGTCCCCTGCAGCCTGGGCTCCCAGTCTGGGGGTGGGAGCAGGGGGAGGTCCCCTATGCTGGTACGTGGGTGCTGCCTGGCTTGGGCCCTACCTCTGTTTGAAGATCCCCTTGGAGGTGCTGGAAGCGGGCAGCCTAGGCTGAGCTTGCAATGCGGCTTTCTCCCCACCGGGTGGCAGCAGAGGATCACCCTGTGCATAGACAGGGCGGGAGGGATTGGAGCCTGGATCTCCTGTCTAGTGGGGGGCCAGGTGGGGGGCACCGCTGGCATTGAGGGGCCCTTCCACACCTGGAGCCCCTTGCCCTGCCCAGCCCCCCACCCCTCTCAGCTCCAGTTCCTTCCCCCCAGCTGCCTGGCAGCACTCAGCCATTAACAATGGCAGTGCCATGGTGGGACCTGGCAAAAGGCACAGCCCGAGTGGGGCACATGGGGCAGGCTGGCCAAGCAGGGGGGCTGGAGGGAGTGCCCAGGCCCAGAGGCCGTGGGAGGCTGGAAGAGAGGGGCTCAGGTCAGCTCCCCACAGCGTGCCCCCATGGGCCCACGGGAGCAGGGTGGAACTGAGGGGGCTGGGCCCCTGCCTTCCTCCCACTCTCCCTCCTCGACCCCATGGGGGTTGATTCCCCAGCAAGCAGAGGGCTGGGGTCCTCCCCTGGTGCCAGCGGCGTGGCGCTCCCTGGGCTAAGCAGGTTCCTCTTCTCTCCCAGCTGCATCGGGTTGGGCCGGGCCGTCCTGACGCCTGCGCGGCACCTGAAGAACACGCTGGGGCGGTGGCAGGCACGGCCCGCAGCCTCCGTCAAGGTCAAGCGGCAGGAGTGGGAGGCACAGGGCAGCCCCCCCAGACTCTACGACAAGTGTCTCCAGCTGGCCAGGGCAGCCCGGAGGTCAGACCATCACCCAGCACCCCACTGAGGCCAGGGCACAGCCTGGACGTGGGACCACGGAGCCAGCCTGTCTGCAGGGGGAACGTGGAGCTGACACCGTGGCCAGCCCTGCCCCTGCTCACCTCCGGCAGGGCTGGGAGACTGACTGTGCCGCTGGGCAGCCTGTAGCCTCCAGCATGGGCACTGCGGGGAGACAGGACCCTCCCAGCCTGGTCTGGGACAGGGGCTTGGTTGTCCCCCTCCCTCTCCTTCACCTGCTGGTGCAGCTGCCCCCTACCCCACACTCCTGGGGGTGGGCTGGGCAGGGCCCTGGCCTGGGCAGGAGCTGTGGTGCACGTGTGGGGCCAGGTTAAGGCGCTGCCTCCCCTCCACATTCCCCCATGGGGAGCACCCTGCCTGGGGGAGGGGCTCTGTCCTGCCCCAGGGGGCACCCCCCAGGGCTGGGCCCCAGCTGGGTCCCTTGAACATGGGGCCCTGTGGGAGAAGCTCCCAGGCCAGGAGGCCACTCCCTGAAGCTCTGCCATGGGGGGCAGAAGCGGCACCTCTTCCGGACTGCAGCCTGGGGGGCTGAGACAGGGGAAACCAGCCCCACCCTGTGGGGAATCCCATGCCTGGGGGAGGGGCCATTGCCACTAGCAGTGCCCCCACGCGAGAGGGGCAGGAGGGCTCAGCTGTACCTCCTTTAGGCTGGGGGGAGAAGGGGGGTGAGTCAAGACTGTGGGGTGCTGTTCCCAGCCTTGCTGTGTGAGCCTGTTACTGCCCAGGGGTGGGGGCAGAGCCCCCACCACCCTGGGACAGAGCTGGCCCCTGACAGCTGCAGGGACAACTTTTCTACAGAGCCCATTTTTTTACATCTTTTCCCCCTAATGCTGCAGCCCTCCCCCCAGCACTGCCCCTCCTGGGGCCGGCTATGGGGCAGCGGGGGCCGTTCCAGCTGGGCTTGAAGCAGGCAGGGAGCTGTGGGCCAGGGCCAGGGGCCATTGCTCTGTAAATAATGCAGCAATAAAGTGTTTCCTTCATGCCTTCTGCGGCCTGGGCTGGGGCCTGGGCCCGGGGTGGGTTGAACAGCCTCCTGCTGCCCTGCGGGGACTGGGGTGGGGCTACTTCTCTGTCCCATCAGACGCTTGTGCCTCCCCCCTCATTCTGTGCCCTCTCCCCCCCCCCCAGCGGTACCCAGGCCACCAGCAGAAGAGGAGTGGAGGAGGGCTGCTTGCAGGGGACTGTGGCCTCTTCCTCCCCAGGTCCACAGGAAGGGCAGGCCAGCCAGCCACCCGCGCTGCACATTGGGTGTGGGCCGTGGGCAACGTTGTTAATTTTATCCCCAGCAACGGCAGAGCAGGGAAGCCAGGGTGTGCACATGTGGGGGGGGAGGCCAAGGGGAGCCAGGGTGTGCACAGGGCTGGGGGTGGATTTTTCACATGGGGGTGAGGGGACAGGACCTAGGGCCCCAACTTCCTCCGGGGAGGGAGGGAACAGCACTGATTTCAAACTGCCAGCCGCCCCTGCCCCCGAGGGCAGCGTGGGGCAGGGGAGCCCGGCTCAGGGAAGCATCAGCAGCGGGGCAGCAACTGGCTTGGTACACCCTTATCTGCTACATTGTGGGGAGTCAGGGCCCCCACCCCTTGCCTGGGGCACCTCCCACCACTGCTCTGCTCTGCCAGCTCCAGTAGCTCCTGTGTGGGTGGGGGGGGTGCTCAGGGTCCCCCCACATGCAGTGAGCTGCACACACAGGGGCCATGGCCCCCGCCGCTGCGCTCCCAGTACAGGGCCAGGCAGAGCAAGCGGGCGAAGCACAATAGAGTGACACCTCCCCCCTCCCCCCCCGACTAGCTCCCTGGGGAGGCTGGGCCTTCAGGGACCACCTGTGACTAGCACCCCGCTTTCACAGGCCCCCTTAGTGCTGGGCTGGGGCATGGGCTGGCACGGAGTGCCCACTACTGAGCAATGCCATCCAAATGCTGAGCCAGCCCAGGCCTTCCACGTGAGAGCCAAGGAGGGCTGCAGGCCCCACAAGCCAGCCCCAGGCAACCCTGCCATCCTGGCCCCACCTCCTCCTGCAGATACCAGTTCAGCAAATCAAAGCACAGGGTGGGCACCTGAGGGTGGGTCATTTATTCCATCAGCTGCAATGTGGTAGGACCTGCCGTGGGCCCCTGGGGAGCCAGGCCCACACACTCCCTGGCAGCTTTGGGTTGTTCCCTCCCACGTGGGCTCTTGTGCTACAGGACCAGGCCAGGCTGTGGGTCAGTGACCCCCCCCACCCCCGCCCTTGTGCTGCCTGGCTCTGTCCTGTCCCCCTCTGCTCTTGTCTCCCCTGACACTGTCCCTGTGCCCCCATTGCTGCGCCAGGCCCAGCTCCTGTCCCAGCCGTGTGGGTCAGCGCTACTGCCCCGAGTGACTGGACATGCTCCCCACACAGCCGCAGAGCCAGCCCCACCAGGGCCGGCACTCAGCCCTCCTGCCCCTCTGGGGGCCTGGCACCCTCCCCCTTGGAGACTCCAGCTGCGCCCCCAGAAGGCTCCTCAGCACCCCCCTCCCTGTCCACGTTGTCGTCCGGGCCATGGGGCCAGCCCCACTGTCTTGCCTCTTCCCCAGCCTGCTCCGCGTGGGTGAGGGCAGCGGGCTCGGCCCAGCCGTGCAGCAAAGGAAAGCTCTGCTCCGTCTGGGCTCACCGCGCACAGAGGAGGACTCGGGCTGCAGCTTGGTCTGGCACCCGCCCCCCCCCCCCCCCCCCCCCCCCCCCCCGGTCACATCCTGGTAGCCTCAGGCTGCCAGCCCTGCCCACAGCCCCTGGCATGGCCACTGACTGCTGCTGGGGGCCCTGCCATACCCAGTGTCCCGACTCCCTGGCCCTGCTCATGCCCTACGGAGTCCGTGCTCCAGGCTGCCCGGGGAGCGCTGCCCAAGGCTCCGTCTCCGAGCTGATGGAATCGGAGCTGGGGCCCAGGCACACAGCCTGGGGTGGAGGATTTCACGGCTGGAACAGCTAACGCGGAGGAATGGGCACTGCGGCCCCGCTGGGGCGTCACTACACTCACACTACCGGGCCCGGCGGGCGGATGGCTGGGGTGAGCGGCCGTGGGGAGCGGAGCGGCCGTGCGGTGGCCGATACCTGGGCAGCCCTGGGCAGGGCGTGTGGCTCGCTAACGGCTGTTGCCTACATCACACCAGCAGGGACGGATCACAGATGGCCCAGTGCGGGCAGGAGAGGCAGCACACGAGGAAGCACACGGCAAGCTCACAACGGGGATCGTTGCACATGGGCGCACAGAAGCCAGGCCCAGCAGTCACGGGGTGATGCCAGCTGCTCGGCCCTGAGTGGCTCCAGTGGCGGCCGCAGCTGGCGGGGGGTCCTGGCTGTCCCTGGAACCGCTCCCCTCTTTGGGGGAGGTGCTGAACAGGTTGGCAGCCCCGGTGGTGGGGCTGGTGGGGCTCATCCTCCTGGCAGGGTAGCCCTGGTCTGCGCTCGCCCGCCTTGGGCCCATGGCCTGGTCGACAGTCTCCAGGCGGAGCGCGGGCAGCAGGCCGAGGTTCCTGGGGTTGGCCCTGGCCAGGGGGTTGTCGTCAGAGAGGCACCAGGTGCCGCAGTGCTCCCCCGCAGTCCTGTAGCCGGGGGCACGGCTGCTCTCCCGGCTCTCGGCCGCCCGCCCTGGCTCCTTGCTCTTGGCATTGTGCCAGGGCGGCTCCTCCTTTGGCAGCTGGATGCTGGGGATCTCGCCCTTCACGGGGCGTCGGCTCTGCGGGGACGGGCTGCGGCTGGCCCCCCGTTCGCGGCTCGTCGGCCTCACGATGAGCCCCTGGAACTTGGGGAGACTGGGGCTGCGGCTCCGGTGGCTCTTCATCTTGCCAGGGCTGGGGCTGCGGGACTTGGGCGCCAGCAGGACCAGGGTGCTGTTGTCCTCCTCCTCGGAGCTGGCGTTCGAGCTGTCCGTTTGGCTGCTGCCCTCTTCCGACGTGGGCAGCGAGATCTGCACGCCCACAGAGACAGTCAGCGGGGAGACAAGGCTGGCGCTGCCCCATGGGGAGCGCGGGTGTCTCAGGGCAGGCGGTATACCCAGTCCGCCCTCTCTCATGCCCCTCACCTCCCTTCACCGAGGGTTCAGCTGCCAGGGAGCAGGGAGGGGGGATAGACATGTCACAGCACCACTCAGGGCAAGGCCAGCCCAACTTCTGTGGTGTCTGGGCAGCAGCTGGTGCCATGGGGCCCCAAGAACCCCCATATAATTTAGCTCACACCCCCAGAGCTCCCCTCCCCATCACCCCCCCATTTCCTCTCCCCCACCGTGATGCCCTTGTACCTGCACAGCAGCCCCCCGCTGCACTCCCCGTCCCCACCTGCATAGTGCCCCCGCCCCCCGCTGTGTCTTGCCCCCTGTGGACATGCCTGGGAGGAAGCTGCTCACCTGGAAGGGTTCTGTCACCCCAGTGATGCTGCTGTAGTTGTTGCCGTAGTAACCGAGAATGTATTCGCCCTTCCCTTTGGGTAGCGCCTCCTCCGAAAACACCACCTACAGCCCCGGGGAGAGCGAGGGGGCGTCAGGGGCCGTGCCACCCACATGAGATGGGCCCTGCAATGCACCCGGCCCACCCCCACCCCTGGCACAGCGGAGCACCCAGCGGGGTAGCTCAGATGCGGGCCCATCACAGTGCCCCTTGGCGTACCCAGGAAGGACGTCTGGCGCCCAAGGGCGTTTCTAAGGGGACAGGCGAACGCAGAGCTGGCAGATGGAGA